AAAAAAATAAAATGGTATCGTCTTTTGGAATTCTATGTAATTACAATAAAAGAAAAGCATTATATAAACAACTAGCCGTGTTACTTGTTCATGGAGAAAATTTACATTTACATTTTACATGCTAAGTAATCATGAACCACGATAGTGGTTCATAATAGGGATCGCAAGGAATTGCACAAAACCCTTATAGAACGTTTGGGCAAAAATCACCTTAAACAATAAATATTCAGTTCAAATAACACTTTAAGATATTTACTATTGACTGCTAAGGCTGTACACTTATAATAATTCTAAAAAAAAACACGCATCTTAGAATTAGAAGGAAAACAAAATCCGCTCAAAACGACCAGTTTTTCTTCTTATTATTATTCTCTTGCTAGTCTACAACAAAAACGGCTTGGTACATTGCACCCAAAACGTTTGTGAAATACTAAATAAGGTAAATCGAAGATCATAGGTGTATTGAAAAGTCGATTTGATTCTTCTATATTTTACATAAGCTAGAAAACATCATGATTCTAGTGTAAACAATGTTATCATTATCCCTTGAAGTTAGCTTTTTTACAATTATTTGGTGTTCCTTTTAAAAGCTTAAGTACAGGGTGAAACAAAAAATGCCAGCCAATATCAGATGAACATTAGATTACTGTTTCATGTAGTTATTAAATGCTTTGTACAATGTACAATCGGTGTCTTTAGGGAGCCAACCCCCTATATTATATGTGAAGTGAAGGAGCAAAATAATTAATAAAAATCAATATACATAATATTAAATTTTATTACACACATTCGTAGAGTAATTATTTTAAAAGACACGGGGGTTTATTTAAAGCGATGTTTTATTTGAAAAGGCTGCTTTTCTACTGGTAAAAATTTATACACGCATAGTTGTTTCTTAGTCTAGACATATACTTGCCCATTGCTATACATTATATACAGAAAATTTAGTCACATAGAAACTATAAATGATCACTATATTCTCAAATAAATCTCCATGACAATCTTCAGCTACAACTTAACATTTTACACCTGGAGCTATTGTTTGCTTGTTTATAAGTTGTTAAGCACAAAGCTACACAATGGGCTATCTGTGCTCTGCCCACCACGGGTATATTTGGAACTAATGCGGTCAAATAGTCAATAGCTATAGTAAATCATCATGTACAGTATCAGCTAGCTACGTTTATTATCATTACAATGTATAAAGTTAGCTACCATATCAAGTAATCCTTTGCCCATAGTTGAGCACAAAAAGTAAGCAAACAAGATAAATAAAAAATTGGGAATTTAAAAACATGCAAATAGGGATCGTAAACAAAAGTATGGAATCTAAGCTGGAGATACTGTAGACATTATTTACTTAAACTACAAATCCCTATTTTGACTCCACCAAATCTAATTCTAGGTAACAGCATGGACCCCAAATAAGGGTTTGTAATTTGAGTACATCATGTCTACAGTATCTCCAGCCTTGTTTCTTTATTTTTCTTTACGATCCCCATTTGCAGGTTTTAAATTCCCAATTTTTTTTATTTATCTTGTATACTTAATAACATACTAACGCTTTATTGCACCACGTCACTAATTATGTACCACTAGTGTTTCAAGTATACAGGTCGATAATTTATCATCGCTTGTTCAGGTATTGGCCGGTGACGTGGCCATCTTTGGTTGTGGCACTGATACTAACTGTTGTGTAGAACAAAATAATAACAGTGAAAATTATTAAATTAATACGAAATTATTTCATCCTAAGTTATAGTTACTTGATAACGAAATTGGATATTTTATTATTCTAAAACGATAAAAACAAGTAATTAAGTGATTCGGTTTATCTTTATCCGCCAAAGGCTGAAATAATGTATCTCAAACTTCTGACAACAGCTAGTGATAATTCATACATGATTTTCAAGTTTTTCAATGTATATAAACCACTCACTTCAGTTCACTGTATTTTGAAAGTATTTTATAAACAATTGTTACCACTTACCAGTTTCTCTCGAAGAAAGAGCGCATGTGCTGGAACGTCTTTAGAACAACCTGCGCTGCGTGTTCGTCGCAACAATCGAGAGAATTTTTCAGTACTTTTTGATAGAGAAGTAGCCACCGATGCGCCGCCTGGAAGCTTAAAATTGTCTCCCGATCCTTTTCGAATTTTGGCTCGAACGCCATAAACCCAATCGTTAGGAGTACCAGATTTTGATTCCTGACTTTTAAGGTCTGCCAACTGATCAGAACTCAGACTACTACTCATTTTTGTCTTGTTTTGTCCTTTTTGCTCATCACTGTTTGATGATCTTCTGGACCTTGTAAAAGTACAGTTGCTGGCAACAGATTCAGCCATGTAGTCTGTACTAAAACTACATTTTTGTCCAAATTCAAAAGCCAGTCGGACAGTCCCTGGGGAAGGAGTATTACCTGTACTGTTAGAGGCCCAAGAAGGACTACTTTCTTCTCCAGTACTCTCACTGTATTCTTCCACCATACAGCTTCTTCCCACTCGTTGTGCTAAACTCTCGGATGTTTGTTGCGTGAGAACGAACTGTTCTCGTGAATGGTCGCTTAAGAGGGATTGCTTACCACCAGACTCTTGCTGATAGTGGTCCATTGTGTCATTGCTCCAAACATCAACCAACTCCGTAGAATAGTCTATGAATAATCGCTGTAAAGGACACATATTAAGTAAATATACAAATGTGACTATTATATGATGTGTAGCTTTGAGATTATCGAAAAAATGTATAAGTAGAACTTAGAGTGTAACAACTTTGTCTATTTTTATGTCTTTCATGATAGTAGAGAAATAAATTAACAAACTGATTTCGTACCTAATGGAAGCTTTTCTTAGGGAACAAACAACAAGGATTCCTTTTCAAAATCATTGAAAACACGGACAACTAATTTATCAGATAAATAACTACTAGTCTAATCTGATTGAATATTTCAAATATTACCGAAAATTAGGGTTAAAAACAAACTTCTGTCTAACGAGCAGCTTTTCAGAAACAAGGAATCATTAAGTATTTTATAAGATGACGTAGTTGTCAGAAGATAAAAACCAATAACTCCTGTTATACGTAGAGACTGATTTTTCTACTTAGGCTACCTATCAAGTTTTATCCTCTTTTTACAGTTGTTTGGAGATAGTACATGGACAAAGCTAGAGATATATACTCTTTTCGGGTTCGGATCCCCGTCACACCAGACATGCTCGCCCTTTCAGCTGTGGGGGCGTTATAATGTGACGGTCGATCTCACTATTCGTTGGTAAAAGAGTAGCCCAAGAGTTGGCGGTGGATGGTGATGACTAGCTGCCTTCCCTCTAGTCTTACACTGTTAAATTAGGGATGGCTGGTGCAGATAGCCCTCGTGTAGCTTTGCGCGAAATTCTAAAACAAACAAACAATACCCATTTCTTTTCATGCGAAATTCGCCTTAATGATCTTGAGAAGCAGAGAAAAACAAACAAGAAAACGTGTAATTTAACTGAAGACATACTACAGAGGTATATATATTATTGACAGCAAATTAGAAGACAAAACATTTGGAAGTTAACTCTAGAGTTACTGATAGACTCCATAGAATTTTTAAACACATTTTTCTAAACTATTTATAAACAGACTTGCTTGTGTGTCCAAGGCTTTGGTGACGACAGTACCCGTAATAACATGTCCCCCTGTTGGTCAGCGGTAAGATTATGGACTTACAACGCTAAAACCTGGGATATGAGTCTCTGCGATAGACAGCGCGCAGATAGTCCATTATATTAGTTTTAAGCTGAAACCAAACAAGTCATAATATGAAAAAAAAAGAGCCACAAAAACATACTCTCAAAGAGTAAATAAAAGTTACATCAATAATTACAATTTCAGTTACTTCCATTAATTATTGCCAGGTTTCTTACTGTATTTTGTATAAAATACGAGTGGCATTACCCAATATGCTTTGGTCAGTTCTTTACACTGAGTGTTATAAAACGTAAACGTATAAATATAATACAATATGATCCCACATGTCAGTTCTCACCCGTAGAGAACGGTATAAAAAGAAGTCAGTAATTTGAGGATTAAATGCTGAAAGAATCCACGTGTCGTAGTGTTTTTAAAGTGCTATGAAATGTGTTTTATTTTATTTCTAACTTAAAAAGTATTCCGAGTAGCATTTGTTTGCTCTAAGTATGATTAATTAACCGAGAGTTGTGATACTTTTTATGTAAGGAACAGTTTCATTTGAGTTATTACGAAAATACGAGTTTCTTTACAACTGACTCGTTTTTCAAATCAAATAGGAGATACTTCATCAAATGGAGAACCTCTCTTAGTCGCCCCCCCCCCAGTGGCACAGCGGCATGTCTGTGGACTTACAACGCATTGAGTATCTTTGTGCTTAATTACAAACAAACAAAATATCTTAGTGTCGTTAAAAACCAGCAGATGGCAGCACAATAAGTAAAAAACTTCAAACATCCATTTATTCCAAGAGTTTACTTTTGATTTTTTTAGTTAGATATACTCGTTATTTAAAGAAATAATACCTAAAATACGTAATAAATACGAATATTAATTATTTTGTTGTTATTAATAATTTCGTAGTGCTGACTTGTTAACTAATAAACGGAGAAGATGTTATATTTTGATTTTAAGATTCAGATTGTTCTTTAGATAAAGGCGGATCAAGACTTTTGATCAATGCAAGCTATTTACATAGGTCATAGGCCATAAATCGAAAACGATCGTAGCTAATTAAATATACTGTTCTTACGTTCTAAATTATAAAGTCTACAATACATTGTTTCATCAGTTAACTAATTGCAATGATTACAATATTTCTCGCCGTAATCTGCTATTAATGTTTCATAAAGTTCTGCCAACTTAGGATTGTTTGTCTGTAGTTAAGCACAAAGCTAAAAAATAGGCTATCTGTGCTCTGCTCATTACGGGTATGGAAACTCGGTTTCTAGCGTTGTAAGTCCGCAGACATGCCTCTGTGCCACTAGGGGGCGCCAGCTTAGGAGATTTACATTAGTCCTAAATCTATATACTAAGCTCAAATCAAAACAGTACTTATAATATAATATAATAATATTAATAAATTAAACATAACAAAAATAGATATGTTCAACACTTTAAAATGTTGTTAATAAAAGTAACGCAAAAGTAGAGCTAACCGAATTTTTCAATTACGAATTCTAAGCAATACTGGAAATATCAAGCCTAACATTTGATTTGGCTGATTCGCCAAAAAGCTGGCTTCACCGTTGCAACCCGCTGGGGCACAATCATTGCCCAGTTCAAATTTCTCGGCTATGTGAGAAGAACAAAGATAGTAAACGAAAGAGGGAAAAGAGAGAATTTTAAGATCAATTTTAGGGGAAAGTATTGAAGTTGGTCGAACTATTAATTTTGTTTGTTGTATGTAAATAAACATACACATTTAAATACATATGCCCCCATAGTCTGCGGATTTACAACGCTAGAAACCGGGTTTCGATACCCGTGGTGGGCAGAGCACAGATAGCCCATTGTGTAGCTTTGTGCATAAATTCAATGAAACAAACAAATAAATACATATACCGGTATTAAGAATTATATGACTATCACTGACCCAACATAATGCTAAGTTTTTCAACAACAACAAAAAAATGACCCGCGATACAAAAAGGTTGCCGACCACTGGCATAGAGGTAAGTCTGTAGGCTTATAACGCTAAAAATCTTGGAAGCTTTGTACTGTCAGTTTCGGTTTGTGTTTTAGTGAACGCTCCTGAAGAAGCCGTGAAGAGAAACGTTGAGCGTTTAATTAAATAAAAACAACATTTGGGTGTTTTAAGGTCGTTTATTTCTAGTATTAATTAACCCGTATTTTAATTTCATTTCTTAAACATAACGCCTAAAATGTTCAAACATCTGAATCAAATCGCTAACAAACAGACAAAGTAAGTTAGAAACTTTTTATCACGCGCCATGTTATAACCATAACTTAGAAACTGAAGATATCTTTAGTTGTGTCTTCAAGCAAACTTTTCATCACGCGCCATGTTATAACCATAACTTAGAAACTGAAGATATCTTTAGTTGTGTCTTCAAGCAAACTTTTCATCACGCGCCATATTATAACCATAACTTAGAAACTTAGCATGTTTGGTTAACTTTATCTATTTGTGTTACATTATCAACCTTTTTCAAAAATATTTTCTAAGGTTAGCATGTTTGGTTAACTTTATCTATTTGTGCTACATTATAAACCTTTTTTAAAAAGTATTTCCTTAGCTTAGCATGTTTGGTTAACTTTATCTTATTTGTTGTTACATTATCTAACCTTTTTTAAAAAGATTTCTTTACGTCTTAGCAT